AAAATTTCTGCTACCGGTTCTCTGAACTACTCAAAATTTCCACTACCGGTTCTCCAGAACTGGTCAGAACCTGTTGAATACCATCTCTAGTTTGGGAAAAGGAATGTATTCTTGATTCATATTTGCGTGAGTTACTATGAGACGGTGTTGGATATAGAAGCTAACATTATTAAGACATTATCTCAATGGTCTGAGACTGATAGAAGAATTTCTTCCCTTGGTTCTTTACATGCTTTGGTCCAAATGTCAGATGCCATAATTCAGAGTTCAAAAGTTTTATTTAGCACACAAGGAAAAAGCCTTTAGCGTTGAGTGTGACTGGCCCTTGCAAGAGATGCAAAGCCATTTTACAGGCAGGTATAAATAACAGATCTGCATATTTCTAGCTTTAGATTTTACAAGTTTTACTTTCCTAGCCCATTTTCTCACTTACTAATTGACATGTTTACCTCTGTTATCATGAGCATTAGATGCTCATAGTAACAGAGCATTAGAGCTTTACCCTTATATTTCTTTCTAATTTATGTACATTCCTCTCTTGTTTCTGTATAGTAGCAAAGCACTATCCTTTCTCCCAAATTGGCATTCATTTACCTTCTTAATAAGGTAGTCCTCGAACTTACAACCACAATTAAGCCAACATTTCAGTTGCTAAGTGGGACAGTTGTTAAATGAATTTTGTTCCATTTTACAACTTTTCTTGTCACATTTGTTAAATTGCTGCAATTGTTAAGTGAGTGACATGTTAGGTCAGGGCAGGGTCTTCAAACTTGACCGCTTTTAGACTTGTGGACTTCAACTCCCAGAATTCCTCCTCCAGTCATGTTAGCTCTGGAATTCTGGGAGTTGAAGTCTACAAGTCTTAAACTTGCCAAGTTTGAAGACCCTTGTGTTAGGTGAATCTTACTTTCTCGTTGACTTTCCTTGCTCAGAAGGTTAAAAATGAGATCACATGAACCTGGGACACTGCCACCGCCTTAAGTGTGAATATCTGTCATAAGTCTTTTTTTTTTTTCAGTTGCCATTGTAAGTTTATACAGAAAGCTAGAACAAATGTGGGACAACATCACCACCAGATGGATTTGTAACTGACTGACAAACTGCACCCAGCATGTAGTCCTTGAAGGAACTATATCTACATAAAGAGAAGGAAGCAGTGGGGTATCCCAAGGTTCTGTTTTAGGCCTAATACTGTTCAATATATTTAGGTGAGGCAATAGAAGAGAACTCATCAAATTTGCAAACAAGCTGGCAAGAATAGCTAACACCCTAGAACAAGGGTGTCAAACTAAAGGCCCGTGGGCCAGATCCGGCCTGCGGGGTGTTTATATCTGGCCCACAGGACCGCCCTGGAAACAGCAAAGGACCATCCCGTGGTGCCTCTGTCAGTGAAAACGGAGCACAGGAGGGCCTCACGTGACCCTCCCAGGCTCTGTTTTTGGCCACAATGTCCTCCTGCAGATCTCTGCCAAGCTCCGTTTTCGCTGGCAGAGGGCTGCAGGAGACTGTCTAGGCCAAAAAAGCGGGCCCTCCATTTCACTGGCAGAGGGCTAGAAAAACAAACAAAACAAATGTTTTCCACTGACACCAGTTTCCCCTTTTGCATTTGAGCTTTCAAGAAAGCAGAAAGGGAAAGAGGAAATATAAAGAAGAAGGGAAGATGGGAGGAGAGCGAGGAAGGAAAAATAAGGAAAGAGAGGAAGAAGAAAGGAGAATGAAGAGGAAAGGAAAAAGAAGACAGGGAAGGGAAGGGAAGGGAAGGGAAGGGAAGGGAAGGGAAGGAAGGAAGGAAGGAAGGAAGGAAGGAAGGAAGGAAGGAAGGAAGGAAGGAAGGAAG